AAACTAAACTAAACTAAACTATGTTGTAAAGATGTATTGTGACTGGATGATTTTAGGGTGATTTAATGGAATGTTATCATATAATCCTATTCTACTCCATTTTGAATATTATATATAAAAGGACGTAAAAACAATTATAGTCAAATTAAGGTTGAGATATAGTAATTGTGATATACATGAATATAGGTGAATTTAAAATATGCGATTTGATGTGAAAAGCCGGTGGTGACTATGGAAGAGATGCGTGGAAATACTGTAACCAACTGACACACTTTCTACAATTTGTAATGGAAGATTTATTTTATTTTTATGTTTGTCTTTGTTTAAAAACAAATAAAAATTGTTTTTAAAAAATGCTAAATCTAACTTGACAGGTTAGGTGAGGCACAGTGAACTTCACAGGGGGAATGAAGACGTGAATAATAGTAATAGGAAGAGAGAAGGGGGAGGGGGAGGAGGACATGTTGCTAAGTAGAGTTGATCTTAATTGGGACTTGTTTGGCAGAGTAACAGGAATAGTAGCAATGCAGTCTAGGACAGGAGTCCCCAAAATCTGGTCTGCGGAATGCTACCTATTCATGGCCCATTGGCAACTGGTCCACACAAGGGAAAACCCTCTTAGAAAAACATAATGGCAAATTCTAATTATTAATTAACTGAGGAACTGTCTTGTCTCAGTGGGATTGGCCCAGAAGTGGGTTCCTACCGGTTCGGGCTGGTTCGGTCGAGTAGATAGTAACTTGGCCTGCCACGCCCCCGAACTGGTTCAATCTGCAGCGCCACAGGTGCCGTCATCTTGTTTTTTTGACTGTAGCGCACATCAAGCGTGCGTGCGCCTGAAGCACAGATGCACCCAAAGCGAACCAGCAGTAGCAGAAAGCGGAATCCAACCCTGGATTTGTCCACCCCATTCGCTCCATTAGAAGGAGCATGCTGAGGACTGCGTCAGGCATTTCAGCTGGGAGAAGAGCCTTTTCTGCGGTGGCCCTCTTCCTTTTGGAACAGCTTACCCCTGGGAGGTGAGATCTGCCTCCACCTTTTTGGCCTTCTAGAAGGGCCTTAAAACCTGGCTTTATCCATTGCCGTGGGGCAGAGGTGGGATTCACATAATTTTACCACTGGTTTAGTGAGCACCGAAAATGTGAGCTCATGCGCGCCTACCACACATGTATGCGGCCTTCCATACATGCACTTTGCTTGCATGTGCAGTTTGCATGCATGTGCGCAGCTTAGAAAACGTGGCTAAATACAAAGGCATAGCGCTGGGGTGGGGGCCCGAAGATCATCACTACCAGTTCACCTGAACCGGTCTAAACTGGCTGAATATCACCACTGGTGTTTGGTCTAGATGGAGACACTCTAGGCTGGAGGTGACCAGTGGAGTAATGGAGAAGATACCACCTTAGCTTGTATATGATTATTGTTGCTTTTTTTTTGTAATGTTCTTTTGCTTATTTGCTTGTTGAGAGCAGAGGTGGGTTCCTACCGGTTCGGCCCAATTCGGCTGGTAGGTAGTAAGTCAGCCTGCCATGCCCCTGAACTGGTTCTATTGGTGGCGGTGCCATCTTGATTTTCGTTTCTGCACATGCGCAGAACAATTTTCATTGCAAAAATGTAATCCCCCCCC